ATTTTATGTAAGCCGCCCTGAGTCCCCTCAGGGAAAAGGGCGGCCTATAAGTATTAATAAATACTCAAATACTCAAATACAGTAAAAAGCACACACTTAGACCCCAAAACCCTCTTTTTATTTCAAAGGCTGTGAATTATGTTCATTCACAGCCCGTAATGAGCCCCAAACAGTTGTAACAAGTCCTATAGTAAGATGCCAAAGTCTTTCAGGATAAGGCTGATAAGCATCCATCTTTATCTTCCTTGAAACGTTGCCAATGACTTAATTGGCAATTAGCTTGGCAAGGCTACATGGAGCAAAGAGTCAAAACGGAGCTTCAGAAGGTAAACTGATCAGCATGAATCAAGTTGCTTCCTGCAAAGGCTCATGTGCCTTTATGTCCTATGGGAGGGGCCAATCACCTCCAAGCCTTACTCCCGAGTCATCCCTTCTGTCTTAACTTTCTTGCTTTCTGGCAGCTCTGTGCATGCACGCACTGGGAATGTAGGGAGCCTGTTTCTCTGCCTCGCTGCTGTCTGACTTTGGAGGCTCCAGAGGCAGCACATAACTCCAAGATGACCCAGGCCCCCTCTCTGCCTCCAATGCAGAGCCCTCGTCCGAGCCTTTCCCAGACTCCAGGACTGGCCCATGTTCCTCCTCAACCTCCTCACTGTCTGACTCAGCTGCCAGCTCTACAGGCTGCTGGCAGACCACAACAGTCTCATGGGTACCTCAACTTACAACAGTACTGACATGGCCAGATTTCTGGTTCTAACAGCATCTGTAAGTCAAGGACTACCAATAATGCCAACTATGTTCAGTTGATCCAAGATAGATGTACAGATAAATGTTTATAAACTACTTTTTGTTTTGTTTCATCTTTTCCTTCTTTGCCCAAAGCTGAGACATCATCAAGACAGACCCAGCCACTTACCCATGGATGGGATCCACTGCAATGGCACGGGGATTCACAAGGTCACTGGCAAAAAGCACTCGCCGTTCTGTGCCATCCAGCTTGGCACTCTCCACTTTGTCCAAGCCACTGTCCGTCCAAAACATGGTTCTTCGGAGATGGTCAATGGCAAGACCTTCTGGGCTAATCAGCCCTAAAGGAGGGGAAACAAGCAAAGCATTTACCAGACATTAGGAACATTAAATCATTGGGCTTGTTTAAATAAATCATTCAATAAAGAAATAATTTTGGCACAAGCTGCTATACAATTTACTGTACAGTTTCTTGTTCAGTGTGGTGTTTAATGCTCCTCACTCTTCACAGATCTTTGACTGTGGCTGCCAGTATGCGAGTGTATTGGATCTGTGTTTTCTCAAACCTGTCCTATGTGTAACATCTATAAATGCCTAAATCAGTGTTATGTGCTATTTAGGATGTTGGATTAGAACCAGAAAGACGTACAAGTCCATCCTTAGTCATAGAAGCTCAAAACACCTGTCTCTATGCCTCCTTTTGGCTGTGTTCATACAGCATGCTTCATCTATTCAACCATGAAAAAACGAAGCAAGGTTAAAATTAACCTCAACGTTAAATTGAGCAGGTTGTACATATGCAGTTGCTGGGTCTTCATCCTGATTACCTGCAAAATGTGAACACAGTGATTATCTGTCACAATGATTCAAAAAGAATTTACAGAATAACAGAGTTGGAAGGGATCTTGGAGGTTTTCTAGTCCAGGGGTGTCAAACTCGTGGCCCATGGGCCAGATGCATCACATGCTGTCCCTGCCCCCAATTGGTTTAGCAAACAGCAGAAAGTCCCGATATGCCACATTACGCCGGCATGATGACATGAGTTTGACACCCGTGTCCCAGGCCACCTTCCTGCTCAAGCAGGAGACTTTATACCATTCTGGATAAATGGTTGTCCAATCTCTTCTTAAAAACCTCCAATGATGGAGCAACCACAACTTTTAGAGGCAAGCCAGCCAACTGATTAATTGTTCTCACTGATCGGAAATTTCTCCTTAACATTAGGTTGGATCTCTCTTTGACAGGTTTCCATCCATTACTTCTTGAACTGCCCTCAGATGCTTTGGGGAATAGGTGAACACCCCCCCCCCAATCCTCTCTGTGCTCAAATGTTGGGAAACTGCTATCACATCCCCCCTAGCCCTTCTTTTTGTTAGACTAGAATGCCTAACTGTTCATTGTCCAGTTTAGCCTTTAGTCCCCTAATCATCTTTGTTTCCCTTCTCTGTACTCTCAACATACAGACAAACTTTAATTGACTTTCCTGGTGTCTCAGAATGATTAGTTAGCAATTGCTTGTACTAATAATACTAGTAATAATGGTAAATCAGTAGGCCTGTTGATGAGCTGTTTTGTCAATAGTCTTTCTATTTTGTCTTGGCTGGTGGGTGACTGCCGAAAGATGGAGAAAAAAATTAATAGGCATGAATTATATTATATTATAAAATATTAAATTCACTGATGCAAGTCATATGCAGAGCTTATCACCCCTGACCCCACTTTCTCTCTCTTCTTTTTAGGGAAGTGACTCACACTGAGACGTCAGATAACTGGAACAGCCCAAGACATTGTCAAAGGAGAAAGCCATCTCCATCAATTTCCTCCTCCAAGTTCCTAATTACTATTAAGTTAGCTGTCCTTTGGAAAAGAAATCAATCAGAAGCAGTCCTGGTCACCATTATCACATTATTTACACCTCCGGGTTTGGTTGGGAAGGGAGTGTTTGTGGCAGGCCAGAGACCCAAAAGAAAAGATGGCTGCAGACTTTGATTTACTTTGGGATGCTATTGGGAACCCTGACAGTTTGCTTGTACAAGACAGACAGGACTTGAGCAGAGCTCAAACACACTAAGTGGATTCGCTGAATAACCTCAGCATTTGCTTAACAGCCGTAACAAAAAAAGATTGTAAAATCAGGTCGGTCACATGATTTATGACTCCAAGTGGTCCATTATGTTCACAAATTGAGGACTACTTGTAATGACAAGGAAGCTGTCTGTGGGTCTTCCTACGGAAGTTTGGCTTGGTGACAGCAGCACCTCACATAGAAGGTCCATACAGAGAGTGGTAAGGACAGCCGAGAAGATTATAGGAAGCTCATTTCCTGTCGTTCAGGATACTGCTTATAAGCGCTATGTGCTTAGAGCTCAAAGCATTGTTAAGGACCTCACACAGCCACTTTATGGTCTGTTTCTGTTGCTCTCCTCTGGGAGGAGGTTTTGAGGTATTTCTAGCAGGACTACCAGATTCTGTAACAGCTAGGCCGTCCGTCTGGTAAATTTGCAAAGTTCCTTTTTCTTGCCACATTCATGTATACATCTGAACTAGACACAGAGGTGTTTCTCTGTGTCATAGAATATATGTGGATATTTGCAGAATTTTGTATTTATTTGTTTGATTTGTCATGTCTCTGTAGTGTATATTGGAGGCGGTGACCTTTTGAGAGCTGTATGTAATGAAATTTCATTTTAATGTACGTCAATTAATGTACATTTGTCTGAAACGGCATAAGGTTTCCTGCCTAGGCAGGGGGTTGGTCTAGAAGACCTCCAGGATCCCTTCCAACTCTGCTATTGTATTGTATTACATTTAAAGTGACAATAAAGTTATTCTAAGACGAAGTTCTACCAGAGGATCATCCCACGTGTCCCTACCTGTCATCTGATAAACCAAACAACTTTACCTCAGCTTCTTGAAACTTCTTGAATGGAAATTACAATATAAATAAATCTCATGAAAGTGTACATTTAATAACTGACTAGGGCTGTTTAATCTGTCTCTAGAAATGATTAACTAGAGGCCAAAAGACAATGAGACAAAAAGGCAATTCATATCATAATGGAGAAGGGTGCTTTTCTGTTTATTGCCCTTATTAGTGTGTTTAATTTGGGCACATGTAAACAAAAAAAAGCTACTCTACTATTATGAGTACACATGGCTAAAAAAATATTTTTGCTTTGCCTCAGAGCAGAAATCCTCTGAATACATAAGGGTGGCTTAGAACCAATAGCGCCAATAAGCTGGCTGGCTGGCTGCTTTACAATGCATTTTCTGTTCTGCTACCCCCAAAAAATCTTTTCACAGAGTATGCGAGGTTGGCTTTTTGCCACAACACCTTTGCGTAGCTACTGCACGTGCTGAATCCTGGAGATGAATGCTTTCGTTGAGAAAATACACATACAGCTATATACAGGTTTTCTGTTGAAGCAGAATGGCAGAAACCGTGTTAATTTAATGTGGTTTGGGCTGAGAAAACTCCTTCACAACCCCAACTATGGATATTAATCCAGGGAATGTCAAATTCCTACCTGAACTAATGACAGTCTCTGGATCTGCACTCTGCTCCAAACTTGCCCGGCTAATAGTCCGTGCTGCAACATCTGTCCAGTAGATCATTTTCTCCCTGCAGTCATAGTCAATGCCTACCATGATGGAACCCTATAATGAAAAACACAAAACATATACGAAATAATGACCAGTTCTACAATTATCCCAATTGCCTGTTCATGGAAAAAATGCTTTGCTCCTAATTATGCAATTTTGGATTATTATTATATTATCTGCTGTCTTCTTTTATGATTTTTGTAGATCTTAATGAGCAATGTAGCTGAAGACTATATTGAACATAGTGGACTTCAGCTTTGTTTAAATTATAAATGCATCTGAAGTGTCATTTTGGGCACTTGGCAACCAGCTAAACTGTACAGTTGTTTGCAGTGTCCCATGGTCATGTGACCATCATTTGTGATTGCTATAAAAATGGTCATAAGGGCAAGTCTGATCACATGATGTCTCTATTTACGACTATAACAATTTATGAACACAATTCCAGGCTTAATTATGGCTGTAAGTCAAGGACTATTTGTAATTTGAATTTCTTTGTGGAACAGAGCCAGTAGCTCCAATGGGCCCTTCCAACTGTACGACGATGTTAAATGTCACACAGATGGGCTGCATTTTGGGCTGGGGGCATCTGAGTTTGGAATAAAAGTGATAAAGGGTTTTTCCACTCCTATAGATCTATTTTAGGGGTATCAAACACAAAGTCCGCCAGCTGGATTCGGCCCATGATGTGGTCAGATCCAGCCCGCAGGGCCCTCCTGGAAAATGTAAGAGGCCGGCCTGCATGGCTTCAACCCAGTCTACCCAGTGCAAAGAGGAAACATGCCAGGAGTTTGGGGAATGGCATCAAGCTGGCCATGCCCACCCAGTCTGCCACGCCCACCCAGTCCGCCATGACAGCCCTGATGCAGTGGTGGGTTTCCATTATTTTTACTACTGGTTCGCTCGTGCGCACGCATGCTCTCTCTCGCGCGATGCTTCTGCGCATGCACAGAGGCGTCCGGGCGGGTGGGCGGAGCCTCCCACTGCCATCACTACTGGTTCGCCCAATCTGGGCCGAACCAGGAGCAACCTGCCTCTGCCCCGATGCGGCCCTTAATGAAATTGAGTTTGACATTCGTGATCGCTTGATTGCTATTTCCCACTTCAAAACAGCAGGAAACCATGGCACCCACTTTTAGCACCTGAAGTTGGAAGCAGGTCCAAGAGCCACAAAAAAGGAAGTTGGAGAACAAATTTCTCTTGGAGCCCCTGTTTCATTAATGGATCATAATTCCATCAACCTCCTTGACTAAAGCCCAGCCTCCTCCCAAGTCTTGCTCCACCTTGCATAGAAATACATTACATGCAATGAGAGAACCGTCTTCGCTGCCTCCTTCTTAAACCTTGTTCCATTCAGTGGCAAGGAACCGATTTGCTGGCCCTGAGCATAGAGCAAGAATGTCCCGGATCCAGGCAGAATTATCTCAGGACGCGGAGTCGGGCGGATGGTTGGAGGAAGGACACTAGGAAGGCCTGTAGACAAAAGTGAGACATCACTGGGTCACAAGAATGAAAGGCCTGTTCCTCCACCCAAGGCCAGTCTGCCTGGCAATCTAAATCACCACATGAAACATCTGCCTTACTGCATATCTCCTTCTGAAGGATGATTGCTGAAAATATGCTGCTTTTCTCCAGCATATGAAGCTCTCTAAGCTAAGAAGTTCATTTCAATGGCACTTCCCCTTGGAGCTATTAAAGAGTGTGTTTTCCCAGTGCACTGCCTCCTGCTGATTGCCTTTGTGAGATCCCCTGATTTTATTCTTGGTTGAGTTTCTATATTTACTCATGAAATGGACAGGTTGTGCTCATTTAGCAACTGCCTTGTTCCCAGTTACAACAGCGATCAAAAAATAACTTCACAATCAATCCTTGCATTTACAATCTTTGCAGGTCTGTAAAGCAAAGGAAAGCTGGAGGAAATCAGAAGCAGAGGTTGTAGTTTTACCTGACTGCTTTGTTTACCGACTGAGTTGCCAGTCCCCATTGTGGCTGCTAAACAAGGAGAACACTATAGACTCAACTTTCCGCTAAGATAAAGGATTACCGTACGTCAGTACTACAGCTGCTTTTTAATAAGACTATGTAGGGATTTTTAAATTTAAATTAAAAAGCTGCTTCAAGCATTATTCTGGAATTCGAAAGAGGTGTAAACATTCTTAAACTGTTACACAAACCACACTAAGTGTTTAACAAAAACCCATTAATTTTTCTTTTTTTAAATGCCTTTAATTAATTAAAAAGGAGCACCAGTTTGGAATTGGATTTTACACACACATATATGTATTTCTAACAGTGTAACACGGGTCTACTGGTGCTTCTAAATCTATTCATCTCAAAATATATTTGCTGACTCCCCTCACAAGGGGAGTCTTCCAATACGTAAAGATAAAATACACTCTTCATTTCAGAACAATTGTTCTTGTCTTAATGCAGATTTAAATACCAAATAATTCAACTAACAAACAACCTGAGATGATTAATTAACATATATTTGATTCAGCTTTTGATCCATCCCCGGTAATGTCACAATGTTATCTGACGAATCCCCTGATGTCCCCAAGCTCAAAAAAGATTTTAAAAGATTCCCAGCTCCTCATTGCCCCACGGCGCCTTGTAACTCATTGTCATCCTCTTACATGCAGGGGGTACCCCAGGCTCCGATCGGGTGCCTTGAATTTCCCGGCCATGTTCATCCACACACCAGCAGTAGCCGCTATTTCCATGACACTGTAGTGGGTTAAAGTTGCCCAGAGGGTCGCATTGGGGCACATACTGGTCACCCTGTGGTCTGCCTCCATAATGTTCCAGCAAGCTCTGTCTCCAGCGTTCACACATCGTTTGTGGCCTCTGAGTTGGCTCTAAAGATAGAAAGAATTATAGGGCTGAAGCTGATACCATTATATGAACTATGTGAAGCCTGAACTCTAAAAAGCTCTTTAGTTACATATTCCCTCCCCCCAACTCACTCATGGCGGCTCTTAGCGGCTTTCAGAAATAAAACCACGAACACAAAACCCACTAAATCCTCAATTCCCTGGCAGGAACAATCTAACAAACTACTTAATGTATTCCCAGACCTACTGACAAAACCATATCTTCAAAAGTGTATAAAGGTTGGGGCCAATCTTATCACTGCATAGATAAGGAGATAAGGGA